GTATGAATGAGAAAGATACAAAAGATAAAGAAGAGGAAAATATTGACAAGAGAAAATCTTAAAAAGTTTTATTTTTAAACATTGACCGGAAGCAAAAGTAAAACATGACAAGCTGTTTGTATACAAAAATGGGTGGAGGTGTAGAGGGGAAGGGGGGGAAAGCTTTCAGGAACAACTATAAAGGACACATGGACAAAACCAAGACAGGGTGGAAGCAGAGGAGGCAGGTGGGGATGGCTGGGGTGGAGCAGGGGAGTGGTGGGGGGTAAATGCAGACAACTGTACTTGAACAACGATAAAATAATTTTTTACAAAAGATACTCAATAAAGAAAATCCCAAGGAATCACAAAAATGGAACAAAAAAAAGAAAAAATCTCCTGGAACAGATAAGCAGTTATAGCAAGATTGAACAATACATGGTTAATATGCAAAAGTTGGTTTCTTTTGGCTCTGTCTTTGAATTTCCTGTGAATATGTAATTATTTCAAAATACAACATTCTTTTTTAATATATATTTTTATTTTATTGATTATGCCATTACAGTTGTTCTATTTCACCCCCTCCGTTCCCCTCCACCCTGCACACCCCTCCCCCACCATCCCCTCCTTTAGTTCATGACCACGTGTCTCAAGTTCTTTAGATTCTATATTTCCCCTACTATTCTTACCCTCCCCTGTCTATTTTCTATCCACCGTCTATGCTACTTATTTTCTGTACCTTCTCCCCACTTCTCCTTCTCCCATTCCCCTGTTGCTAACCCTCCATGTGATCTTCATTTCTATGGTTCTGCTCCTGATCTAGCTGTCCTCTTAGTTTGCTTTTGTTTTAGTTGTGGTTCTTAATAACTGTGAGTTTGCTGTCCTTTCACTGTTCATCATTTTTATCTTCTTTTTCTTAGGTAAGTCCCTTTAACATTTCATATAATAAGGGCTTGGTGATGATGAACTCCTTGAATTTGACTTTATCTGAGAAGCACTTTATCTGTCCTTCCATTCTAAATGAAAGCTTTGCTGGATAGAGCAATCTTGGTTGTAGGTCTTTGGTTTTCATGACTTGGAATACTTCTTTCCAGCCCCTTCTTGCCTGTAAGGTCTCTTTTGAGAAATCAGCTGACAGTCTGATGGGAACTCCTTTGTAGGTGACTGTCCCCTTAGCTCTTGCTGCTTCTCAGATTCTCTCCTTCATTTGAATCTTGGCTAATGTAATGATGATGTGCCTTGGTGTGTTTCTTCTTGGGTCCAACTTCTTTGGGACTCTCTGAGCTTCCTAGATTTCCTGGAAGTCCATTTCCTTCACCAGAATGGGGAAGTTCTATTTTATTATTTGTTCAAATAAGATTTCCATTCATGACTGCTCCTCTTCCCCTTCTGGTACCCCTATAATTCGGATGTTGGAGTGTTTAAAGATGTCCTGGAGGTTCCTAAGCCTCTACTCATTTTTTTTTGAATTCTTGTTTCTTCATATTTTTCTGTTTGCTCATTTTTTCCTTCCTTCTGGTCCACTCCTTTGATTTGAGTCCCAGTTTTCTTTCCATCACTATTGGTTTCCTGTGCATTTCCCTTCATTTCAATTAGTTTAGCCTTCATATGTTCCTCTAACTTGTGACTAAAATCAACCAGTGCTGTGAGGATTCTGATCACCAGTGTTTTGAACTGTGCATCTGAAAGTTTGGCTATTTCTTCATCTCTTAGATTTATTGGCTCTGGGGCTCTGAGTTGTTCTTAAGCCATGTTTTGATCTATTTGTGCCTGTTATGTATGAGGACAGGCGCCTTAGGTGTTCACCAGGGTGGGGCCACCCAGGTTGCTGATTTGTGATGCTGTATGTGGGGACGGGGTCAGAGAGGGAGCAATGGGGGTCCTTTCCGCTTGCCCAGTCTGCCTCACCGCTTGCCCTCGCCTATTTATCTGAGCGCAACTGTGGGAGCCCGCTGCCCTGCACTGTGCGGTCTTAATGCTCTCCTCTTCACTGGTTCATCTGCGTGCAAATGCGTGACCGACCACAGACAGCCAACTGCGCCTCTTCCCTTTGTCCGCCTGTAGCTAGCCCGCACCTGGGATCTGCACCCTCGGCTGCCTGTGTACTGCCTGAGTCAGGATATCTATTTTGCCCAACCTGCTCTGCTGCTGGCTTTGACCCTCTCACTGGTTTAGCTGAGCAGTTCGTTATTTTTGGACTCTATATTGTTGATTTTCTGTGTGGTTCGGTTGCATTTATCATTGTTAAAACTTTGCTGTTTTTAGATTTGGTTGTGGAACAACTCAAAGTGTTTCCACCTATGCCTCCATCTTGGTGGAAGTCCTCAAAATAAAACATTCTTAAATGGATAAAAAGGCTGGGATGTCCACTTTCACCGCTCTTATTCAACATAGTACTGGAATTCCTAGTCACAATAATCAGACAAGAAGAATAAAAGATATCCAAATTGGGAAGAAATAAGTAAATTGTCCTTATTTGCGGATGTCATGATAGAGAGAACCCTAAAGATTCCACAAAAACCACTACAACTGATAAATGAATTCAATAAAGTTACAGGATACAAAATAAATATTCAGAAATCAGTGCATTTTTTATATGCCAATGATGAACTATCAGGAAAGGAAAACAATCCTATTTACAATTGCATAAAATATTAAATACCTAGGACTAAATTTAACAAATGAGTTGAAAGACCTGCACTTGAAAAATTATAAGATATTGAAGAAAGAAATAGAAAAAAAAACTAATGCATGGGAGCATATATCATGCTCATGAACAGAAGGAATTAAAATCATTAAAATGTCTATTACCACCCAAAGCCCTCTATAGATTAAGTGCAATTCCTAACAAAATACGAATGCCCTTTTTTACAGAGCTAAAACAAATAATTCAAACATTTGTAGCAAAACATAAAATACCTTAAATAGCTATAGAAACCCTGAAAAGAAGGAACAAAGTGGGTGGTATCACACCTCCCGTTATCAAATTATACTACAAGGATGTAGTAATAAAAACAGTATAGTGCAGTTTTCCAGTATAAATAAAATTCTATTGGCTCAGAATGGGATGGAAGTGAGGTTAGGAGTAGTAACTGACCCCCAATCACCACCTTTGTCTATCATCACAACCCATTGCTCTGAATGGTTCTCAGCACCGTATCCCAAGAGTGGGTAATAAGGAGAAAGGATGTGGAAAAACCTGTGTTATCTGAGATCTCCTCCCACAGAATGCAGTGTTTTGTGACTTGGGTCCATCAGTCTGGTCTCATGATTAATCTTTCTTTACTCTGGCGTAGGAAACATTATTTCATATCCTTCTTTAAAAGAAAAACTACTTCCCTATCTAGGTCACTTTCAAAAGCTGGAGATTCTGGGGGACAGAGACTCAGATACAGCATACCAAGAGGGATTTCTTCTAAAGCCCTTAAGTGCATTTGGATAGAGTGTAGTTGGATTTACTTTGCCTCACCCTTCCCTTCTCCCCTACCAAGAGGGAATAGCGGTTAATGCTGTGGACCCCAGCCAGACATGCAAGGCATTGCCAGCTGTCCCCTACCCATGCTGTTCCCATGCTCCCCATTCTGCTGATTGATGCCTGCTCCTTGAAAATTCCTGTTGACAAAAGGAGACATGTCCCCCACCACACCTACACATACACTGTGGCTCAATTCTGGGCCTCTGAGAACAAATCAGAGCTGTGGATCTCTTCTTCCTCCTGAAAGTAGGCTGGCCTTCCCAGTGAGCTGGGTGCCTGCTGGGCCTTCAGTAAACATGAAGCCACCACAGGCTGATGGTCTGGGAGAGGTGGCACGTCTTGGGCTGGAGAAGCAGCTGTATTCCTTGGTATGATGATCTAGACCTCCAGAGGTGTTATTGTTACACCTGTCCTCTTTGATCTGCCTTTCTTCAAGTTCTTCCCTTTTGGCTGCCTTTTTCTCCTAATACAGGACATCCCACCAGGGTTGGTGACTCAGATAGATTCCAGGCCCATAGCGTACTTCTTAAGGGTCACTGCCTCACCTTTATTCAAGCTCCAGAAGCCCTCTGAGTGCAGCTTGCTCTGCAAACTGCTGGTTTGACACAGAGCTCATGATAGTCAGCTAAGCCCACAGCCCTGGGCCTCATGTCAGCCATGTGCTGGCCTCAGAGAAGTACAAAGACAAAAGGACTGTTTGGAAAAGAGGCTGCTACATCTTCTCCCACACAACCAGTTTTTTTTTTTCTTGAGAATTTAAACCGAGAGATACAATAGTCTAGAATTTGATAGATAAGTCATGTAAAAGGCAGGAATCCATAGGATTAGTCCACAGATTCCTGAGGTTAGGGATTCTGGACTGGTCTCAGTTCTCGATATTCCTCCCCTTCATCCTTCTTGAATTTTCTAAACTCCTTCAATTCTTTTAAATAGTCCCAGTTTCTTAGATAAATTCTCTTTTTTTGCTAAAGGTACATGGACTTGGTTTTTGTTTTTTGCCATCAAAAGAAACTTACCTAATATGTGAGCATAGAGATATTAAAATCTTTCTCCAAGGTCACATAGCTTGTAAGTGACCAGAGTTTTTAATCAAGGACTGTCACATTCCAAGTATATGTTCTAGTGCTTATTCCATATATACTGCTTAGGCTGGAGCTATGATGAAAAGTTCTTATCTCACACATTGTGAAAGATTAAAAACCCTCCTTAGTATTCGGCCCAGTCCTTTATCTCTTCTATCTTTTTTCTTAAGTCTGATAGTCTCTGTTCAGATATATTATTAAGATGACCTCAGAACAGATCAGGATTGATCACAGGAGAACGTAGAGATAATAGAGAGGAAACCATCCCTACTGTTTTTCTTCTCTTCAAATCTTAGACTCACTAACATCAGAAGAAGGGTTAAATATCCCAAGGAGAAATGAATCAAGCCTGTCTTGAGGTTTTCTCCTCCTCCCAGGAGAGCTCCCTTGATCACCAAAAAACCTCCCACTGCTCCATCCAGGACCCCAAAGTGGGGGCTTGCCCTTGGGTTCCTCAAACTCACCAAACACTTCCAGTGGGATCTTCCATTCCTTTTCAGTCCAATTCTCCATCACCACCTTCAAGATGTAGGTGCTTGTATCATTTTTCTGGACCTTACAAATGTAGAGTGTGCCATTTTCACGATCAAGTGTGACCCTGTCCTTAAATGTAGTTTTGAAGAAGTGAGGATTAGGCTTGTCAAACTCCCATTCTAAAATCTTCTTGTTGGAATTGTAAAACAAGGTGAGACTTTGGTGGTTGTGAGGCCAGTCGGGGATTGGAAGAGTCACATTGCTGCCAGAGACTGCAGATTCCGGATGTTCTGAATAACCTGCCAATGAGATTCAGAGTGAGACCTGTTTTAGAGAAGGCAGAGATGCCCTGTGGCTCAGGCTTTGGCTTGGGATGGTGATCAGGGAAGAAGGAAGGGATTTCTTTCTGCAGCCATGAATATGGTCTATATCAGAGGGTCTGGACCTCTGGTCAGGAATTTAATGAAAGTTGGAGATTGAGAAGTGGGCTCGGGGGCAGGGGATGTTGCTTATAATACATCTAGTTCTGCCTAAGATGACCAAGAAAAAGGACACTGAGGCTGACCCTGTAGATTTTGAGATAAAGTAATGACAAGTCATTTCCTCTCTAGGCTTTTGTTTCATATGGTTCAATTTAGATTTCCAGCAGTAAGTGGGGAATAGAGGAGAAACAAGGTTTGAAGTGAATGGGAGACAGAGCAATTCAGTGGCAAAGTATTATAAAAGCATGAAGACATTTCATTAACAAAAATATTGTACTATTTTTCTGGCCTTAGTGATATTGATAGTATTCATCAGCTTTTTAAAGCTTGTGATACATAGGAATCTCTTATGCTGACTAAATTAACTTTTGTTCTTATTTGTATATATAGTTTTGTTCTTTCTTTAGTGAGAGTACCCCAAATTGCATAAGCCTCAGCTCTAAAAAAACAAGTTTGATTAAGTTGGAGAAAGAAAAGATGATAGCTACAAGATGCAAGATGAAAGGAGGTCTGTTGATTCTTTTTGTTGATGGAGAGAAATTATATTCATATAATGTACTACATAACAATGCTTCATTTAATGATGGACTGCATACAACAGTGGTCTCATAAAATAATAATGGAAAAATTCCTATCAAGTAGTACATCACAGCCATTTTAATGTTGTAGTTCAACCCACTAGCCATGTGTTTTGGTGATGCTAGAGTAAACAAACCTACTGAACTTCTAGTCATCTAAAGGTATAGCACAGAACAATTAAAGTACAGACTTCTGACCAAGATGGAGGGATAGGTAGAGACACTTTGCCTCTTCACACAACCAAAAGAAAAAAACAACCAATTTAAAAATAAAAAACAACCAGAACTGCCGGAAAATCAAACTGTATGGAACTCAGACAACCAAGGAGTTAAAGAAGAAACATTTATCCAGACTAGTAGGAGGGGCAGAGATTGGCAGCCAGGGTAGAACTCCCAGCAAGGCAGCAGCTGGAGGACCAGGGTGGGCAAGGCAGGGGTGGGTAGACCAAACAAAGCGGTGACTGGCAGAGTGGATGGTCCTGCATTTGCGTGTGAATAAACCAGGGGTAACAACTCAGGAGCAAGAAAGACTGTGTAACCCAGGATTCCAGCATGGGAAATGAAGGCCTCAACATATCTAACTGAAAAAACCTGTGGGGGTTGCAGTGGTGGAAAGAAATCCCAGACTCACAAGGCAGTTAATTGGAGAGACCCACAGGGTCCTAGAATGTACACAAACCTACCCACCCAGGAATCAGCACCAGAAGAGTCCAATTTTTTTGTGGATAGCAGAGGAACTGACTGAAAGCAGGCAGGGAGCCAAGTAAGTGGCATTGTTTTCTCCTGGGCACCTCCTCTACATAGAGTACCTCAACACAGTGCCATGGGTTGCCTTGCTCTGGCAAATACCTAAGGCTCTGCTCCTTACTACAAAACAGGTATGCAAAGACAAAAATAGATGTCCCAAATGAAAGAACAGATCAAAGCTACAGAAAAAAATATAACTAAGTGATGAAGAGATAGCCAGACTATCAGATGCAGAGTTCAAAACACTGGTAATCAGGATGCTTACAGAAATGGTGAAGTATGGTTGCAAAATAGAGGAAAAAGTGAAGGCTATGAAAAGTGAGAGAAAGGAAAATGCACAGGGAAGACCAGAAGGAAACTGGGGCTCAAGTGAACAGTTTGGAGCAGAAATATTCACCCAAAACAGAATGAAGAAGTGAGAATCCAAAAAAATTAGGAGAAGTTTAGGAACCTCTGGGACAACTTTAAATGTTCCAACATCCAAATCACAGGGATGGCAGGAAGAGAAGAGGAAGAGCAAGAAATGGAAAACTTATTTGAAAAGATAATGAAGAACTTCCCTAATCTGGCAAAGGAAATAGACTTCCAGTAAGTCCAGGAAGCCCAGAGAGTACCAAAGAAGTTGGATCCAAGGAAGCACACACCAAGACATGTCATAATTACATTAGCCAAGATTAAAGAGGAGAGAATCTTAAAAGCCACGAGAGAAAAGGGAGACACTTACCTACAAAGGAGTACCTACAAAAAGGGCTGTCAGCTGATTTCTCAAAAGAAACCTTGCAGGCAAGAAGGAGTTGGAAAGAAATATTCCAACTCATGAAAGGCAAGGACCTATATCCAAGATTATCCAGCAAAGCTATCGTTTAGAATTGAAGGGCCCATAAAGTGCTTCTCAGATAAGGTCAAGTTAAAGGAGTTTATCATCACCAAGCCCTTACTGTATGAAATATCAAAGGGGCTTATTTAAGAAAATGAGGATGATAAAAAAATATGAAGAGTAAAATGACAACAAACTCACAACTATCAATAACTGAACCTAAAAATGCAAAAACAAAAATGAAGTAAGCACACAACTAGAACAGGAACAGATTCATAGAAATGGAGATCACATGGAAGGTTATCAGTAGGGAGGCAGAAAATGGGGGAAAAGGTACATGGAATAAGAAACATAAATGATAGGTATAAAATAGATAGAAGGAGGTTAAGAATAGTATGAGAAATGAAGAAGCTGAAGAACTTATATGTATGACCCATGGATATGAACTAAGGTGGGGAGCTGCTGGTGGGAGGCAGAGTACAGGATGGAGGGGAATAAAGGGGAGAAAAAATATGATAACTGTAATAGCATAACTAATAAAATACATTAAAAAATTTAAAGTATATAATTCTTGGTGAACATAAGATATGTGTATTACTGATTTATGTATTTATTATACTATATTTTATCATTTTTGCATGTTCTCTCCACTTACAAAAAAAAGCTTTCTGCAAAACAGTATGTTGTGTCACACTTGCAGCAGCCTCATATCCTGTCTTTTGATGCCTCACATCCTCTTATGTTTAATTCAATCTCATGGTGTTTTACAAATTTAGTGTAGCCTACATATACAGTGTTTATAAGTGTAAAATAGTGTGCAGCAATGTCCTAGTCTTTCACATTTACTGAAAACTAACACACTGGCTCACCCAGAACAGCTTACAGTCCTGCAAGCTTCATTTATGATAAGCACTTTATAGAGATGAAACATTGTCTATCTTTTACATTATATTTTTACTTTACCTTTTCTACATTTAGATATGTTTCAGTAGAGTAACATGTTGTATAGGTTTGTAGCCTAGAAGCAATAGGCTATATCACCTAGGTTTGTATAAGTGCACTCTATGATCACACAATGATGAAATTACCTAATAACATATTTCTCAACATGTATCACTGTTGTTGAGAAAGAGCAGTAGAAAGAAACTAATGGTAGAGAAAAGGAGGAATATAACTTATGTCACACTGTCACATAAAAACTGAATCATATTGTTCAACATGATATATATACCTGGCTGTTGATTCTTTACTTATCTATAATTTCCAAAATCATTCTCCTCAATGGCTAAAAGACAATAATGCCTGTGTCCCAGGGCTTTAAATTCTATTCATCCTTCCAACCATCCATCTATTCCTTCAACATTTATTAAGCACATTGTTCCTGGGGCATATACAGACACACCTCCACATTTGTTTTACAGTGCTTCTGATTGGTCCATTTCAGACTTTATAATCTCTGTGACACAATAAATTCAGCCCAAGGAACAGCATTTGAACAGCCATTATGTTACTGGCACTGTGCAGTGCAGACAGAATCTGTGGTTTCTTGGAGCAGGATGTTCTCTTCAAGTTTTTAAAATAATTAGACATACTAGGTCTGTGCAGAAGGTATCCAGACATATAATATGAAACATAGAGATCTTTATTGAAGAAGATACAAGAAACATTGTCCTGTACATAGGACAATGATACCTCAGTCCCCTTCAAAGTAGGCACCTTGAGACCTCACACAGTTCTCCCAGTTGTTATCAGCTGCTGGTCACATTTTCCTGAATCTCATACACAGTCTGAAATCTCTTCCATTTCAAAGGTGATTTTAGCTTTGGGAAAAGCCAGAAGTTGCAGAGCACCAAATCTAGGCTGTAAGAAGTCTGAATCACCTGCGTGGGTGGCTTGATGTTTCACAAAAAAAAATTCTGCATGTGACATGATGTGTGAGCAGGTACGCTGTCATGGTGAAGCCACCAACCACTAGTTGCACAAAGCTGCAGCTTTCTGAATCATCCAAATAGTTTCCAAGGAGGAATGTTCAAGATTAACACAAAATTTGATGCAGAGTTGTGACTCTGCTTGCTGTCATTTTGTATGACAGCCACACAGTACACATGCTCACCAACAGCATCTACCACCCCTACTGACTAGTACAGTGAAGTCGTCATTGTTCACACATTTACATTCCAGTCCACTCTCCTTGGTTGCCAGGTTATAGTGCAAATTGTTCTCATTGTATTAATGATAGCTGGACTTTTTCCAGACAGACTTCAGATATTCTACACTCATTCTTTTTCTCTTCATTGTTTCCATGTGGATTAATAGAAGTGGTGACAATAAACAGGCTACATCAGTGGTTTTTTTTCAACCTTGGCACTATTGACATTTTGGTCCAGATAATTTTTTGATGTAGGGGGCTGTTCATATGTATTGCAGGATGTTTAGCAGCACCCCTGACCTGTGCCCATTAGATGCCACCTCTCCAGTTGTAACAATGAAGTGTTTTCAGACACTGCCAAATGTCCCCTGGAGGTGGCAGGGGACAACATCATCTATCCACCACCATTCTGGTTAAGAACTACTGTCCAACAAGTGTTAGACATATGCTCAGAAAGAGCACAACCCACTCAGAAGTAGCAGTAACTACTTCTTTATTTCTCAGTAAAGGGTCACAGATAGCTACC